ACTTTGGTGTTTTGTACTAGGTCCTGACGTGTTCTTTGTGCCCGCATCCACAACCAAAACTCACACTTTAGGACCTAGTACAAAACACCAAAGTAATTCTCTTTGTATATGAAGTTCAACACTTGTTGTGATTTTGCTACTTAGTTTCTATCACTGAAACTTGTTATAATAATCTAATTGTCCACAAATATACATGAAAATTTATTTACGAGAAACTCGAAGATTTGAATTTCAATTTATTATAGTTGTCGTTCAGAATTCAACCTTTTACTTTGTTGAAATGAACAATAAAATAGATATCTATATGTATATCAACAAAAGTAAGCTGTGTTATCTGGTATTAGAAAATATATGAAAAGGCTTGTTGGAGGAGAAATGTCCACATTATGGGGACATTTTGATAATTATTTAATGGTAACAACTGTGTGCATATCATTTTCCCCAGTAATAGTAACATTTTCTGCAGAGTATAGGAGACATTTTATTCAAGGGAAAAAGCTATTTTTTAAACATCTAAATTCTACTGTGGAGATGAATTTGTAAAATTTATTGAAAATGTTGTATTTCATGTCACAACCACAGGTCGAAGCATTTTTATTCAATAACTAAGCAACTTTGTAAATACATGTAACAGACTTGGAATGTACATCAGTGTTTGGGTTAGTAAGTTATTGCAGGCATTTATTGGAGAAGAATACCCTCCAAATTTCTATACTTTATTATTAATTTCCATCTGACAGAAATTTATTTACTTATAATGCTGTGTAATGATTGATAAAACTTTTTAAAGTAAAAATATATTTTATTTTTATGAAATGATTTCAGATAACTGAGACAGAGCTAAGGTTAATTATAGAAAAAATGAAGTCCAATCCCACAGTATTTCAAGAAACTGGTATTCACATTGGAGGAGAAAAATATATCTGTTTGAAAGCAAGTGACACTCTTCTTAGAGGTAGAAAAGGGAGTTCAGCACTTTGTATAGTTGCCACAGAACAATGTAAGTTGTTTTTTTTTAATGCCTACTGAATATAAGAGTAAGCCTTGTTTTTATGGTATATGTTACTAAGGTATATTGTTCTTGTTATTTTTAGTAGTTCTGGTATACCATGTGGTTGAGAAAGTTCTGAAATTCAGCTTTTTATAGGTTTGTTGCTGACTAACATGTCAGAATATAATTTAATTTTTATCTCTCTCTGGAACTATTTGTTTATTTGATGCAATATTAATTCTAAGAACGTAATAGTGAAAGCAAAGAAGAATGTGTTATAGTATGTCAACCACACCACATCTACCATATCCAGTGCTGATGAGGCCTTTTGCCTAATTCCAAGGCTCTTCAGGCTTGCTGGTTTTTTAAAACTTTTTAATGCTCCCATTGTATTGACTAAGGAGTTTGCAGAAGAGAAATTTTGTGCATTATGCATTAAAATATTGTACTGTAAAAGAGGAGAGTGTTTTATTGAAGAGTGATGTTAAAAAGTTGTTAGCATTAATTATTAGATTTTACATAGTAAAATTAAAGTTTTGTATGTATATTCTGTCCCTTATCTAAGAAACAACAGTTTTTCATTGTAGATAACCAATAGCTGTTGTTTTAGAAAATAATTTAGTCACCATCCTGACACAATTTAAAGCTAATTGCAAGTTGGTTCAGTTGAGTATGTGACATACTCAACTGTATAAAATGTGTGCAGCCACATCAGACTAGGAGAGTTTAAGATGGCCTGATTGGTCATACTATTTAATGCAGGCAGCACTTCTTCCTCATTGTTGATAATCCCTGTAGAGAAGACTTCCTTTACAAGAAGGTAAAATCCTAGGCATAAATGTATTACAGTAATCCATCTTAATATTGAGAATACAGCTGTCCAACAGAAGATCAGTATTGTCAAAAATGTTTTATGTTGTGCAAGACACACCCAATGTGTAGACTGCTTGAGAAATGTTGATTGAATATCTACACCTCCAGTACAGTGGGTGTGCATTTCATAAATGATGTTGAGAATATGAAAACATTCTCATCACAAAGACAAAGAAATTATCAAATTATTTGAAAACAAAATAAGTACCGGCAACTATTTTAAACAATAGTGCCCATTCTATGAACGTGTTAAACCTTGTACTATTGCCACTTGTATATATTTCATTCACAGGTGAATATAGCTATTTTTCCTAGTTCAGACCACTAAATAACTCTAGTTTTGATGTTTTATGTATTTCCTAATTAATATGCATATTTGTTGCAGTCTTCATTGTTATGAATTACGTGTAACAATAATGTTAGGTTTTCAGGTGACTGGTTTATTCACTGTAATACCTGTATCCAGTCACGTATTAGTTGTTTTTGAGTTGTACTAGTCAGTAGTTAATTATTCATTAACCAACTTACAATTAATTTGTGAAATGTATTTTCTCTTTCTGAAGCTAGAAAAATAATTATTGAAAGTATGGATTATAAGTTTTCAGTAACTGTAAAACACTTTTTCACAACTAACATCATCTGGTGTTTACGGTACTAATTATTATGTTTTCAATACATCTTCAGTGGAAAAAAAAAGTTCATAACACCAGAAAACCTATTTGACTTATGGAGTTCATAAAACTTGAAATATTATTCTTAATAATGTAAAAGATGAATTGGATATGGCAAAAGTAACCTCTCAAGGGTGTAACACAGGTACTAATTCTGTTTTGTGCTTAGAGCTATTGGGTTTCTTTTGTGATTCTAACTTTTTTTTATGTTAATCCTGCATGAATATAATGAGCTGTAAAGATGTAATCCTTATTTCAATTTTAAATCCCTGTGTAACTTGCAGAGATACAGGCTCAAAGTTTAGTTAAGTTCATAATCTTCCTTAATTTGCAAAATACTTTTATTATAAGTATTTTACTATATTTTTTTTATTGTTGTATTATAGTTGCATCATAATGATGATGTTATACTTTGGACTTTCAACTGTTTTTTGTTTTTGTAACAGTTGGCAGATGGCTTTTATATAGGATATTCAAAAATTTAGTTATAACTTTGTTATAAGTCTATTTCAGCAGAATGCCTTTATTTATTTCAAAATTATCACAGTTCTCAGTCTTAACACCTGTGCTTAACTTAATTTACATAGTTTTGTAGTCATATTCTTGACAAGCCAAAAACTTCAAAAACCCTGATTTGCAAACTTGTGAAATTTGATTCACCCTGACACACTTGTCTTCGGTATAATTTTTCATTGCACATTAAGATACATTCTGTACCATTTTTTATTAGGCTAACATTGTTGTTTGAGAAATATTTTTGCCAACATATTTTTGCATCTAGAAGAATTATGATAGCAAAACCTAGCACCTAAATAATGCCACTAAACACAGGAATATCTTTATATAGGAATAATTGGTTTAATAAAATAACATGATGTGCTACTGTAAATAATAGTGTAAAAAGATGGAATAATGTTTTTTCAGGTCTTATTGCAGCTGCTACAACTGATGGTGTTCCTGCAGGGAAGCTCAATATTGTTGTGGAAAGATTAGGAGACTACTTAAGAATGTCTGGCTTATAAGTAAGTTATACATCACACTGTGCATGTAAAAGATTGTAAGTTTTATATCTTATAGATTAGATAACCACTTTTTGTAATGCTGAATTTCTCAGAAAAATAATTTTTACTGTGTTTAATTTATTTCACTCTTTAGAACACTGTATAGTGCTTTCAGGCTTGAAAATAGCAGCTGATTGTCAAATCTAGCATAAATGTGAATGTTTGAAGATGGTAGAACATTTTTAATGAAGTAAAATGTGATTGTGAAAAATGACAATGTGTTTATATGTGAAACTTTAATTTTAGAAAATAATATATGTATGTCTAAGAATGGATAACATTTTGATAATTCATGCATGCCACCAGGATGTTTTTTTCTTGGGGGGGGTGTGTCTAAAATCAGTAAGCTGTGAGTCAGTAACAGTCAATTACATCTTGCACAGCAGGGTTCTTGTCAGATTAAAGAAACATATTAGCAAATAAAAGAGATTATGAATATAAAGTTATTACTCCATGTTCAGCAGTTTTTCCAGCATTAAATTAAATTTTCTGTTACCACCAAAATGCATTTGAGGTTGAACCTCCCCATTCCTTGGCAATGCACATGTAATCATACTATAAAAATGCTAGTAATGTTTAATAGAGCTGGGCAAGTAACTCAGTTATTTAAGTGTGTCAGTATTGGGAAATAATCTATCAGAATTATGATCAAATCAATTATTTACTATTTTTTGCAACATTAATCTAAATTTGTGTTTCCAGTCATTACCATTTTGTTTAATCCAGCTATCCAAATAATCAAAATATTGCCATTATTATTTCTCATATTTTTTTATTTATTCTGTGTTGCTCAGCTTAATCAGTAAGTCAGACTCTAAAATAATCAACTAATTGAAATTGGTGTTTCTGATTATTACTGTTTTTGATTATTCTAACTACCTAAGTCTTGAGTAAGAACACCCAGTTAGTTGAATATAATTAATTAATCAGCCTGATGATTAATCTGTTAGAAAATTTCACTAATATTGTTAGTGTTTAGCAGTGTTATCTGTACAGTCTTGCATAAGCACTATTATAGTGTATCATCTTAAAAGAGCCTATTTTAATTTTTGAAATGTCACTCTGCTGGAAAGCCATATTATGTGCAACAAAAAAATTATGTTCATCTGGTAAATTATAGTGTTGTTGAAATTTGTGCAGCAAGGATGCAGGGCTCAAATTTTATATACTTTTATAACTGAATTTTTTCTTGTCTGTGATGGTTGTATCTCCAAACATGATGTGAAACATCTATATAAATAAAAATAAATAAATATACAAGTTCAAGATTTTTAATATACTCATTTATTGAATTCTAGTTTGTTTGCTTTTTGTAGTTTATCTCTTTTTTTATGGGAGTTCCTTTATTTTATAGTGTTTTTTGTGTGTGTGTTTTTAGAAAAATAAAGTGACTTGGTGAAGACAAAGATAAGAGTATTCAAAGGGCATTGTTAGTTCCTATTTAAAAACCTACCATGCCTCATCAGTGAGTGTGTAGTTGATTAATAAAAGCATATTTTATAAATGGATTGACTTTGTTGATATATGAATGTTGTTGAACCTAGCAGTAATTCCAAGTTTTCATGACATGAAAAGCTTGTTTTGTGAAGTTGTTCTTTATAAGAATTTCATACACCTTAACAATTCTAACTTCTTTTTGGTGGTTCCATCTTTATAGAGCACAAGAAATTCTACTTCCTTTCAAGGCTTCCAGCACAAAATGTCATTTTCTCCTGTTGAGCCTATTCTTTCTTTGACTTTTGCAGTTCTTACATTGGACTGAGTTCTGAGTACGTGCTAGTCAGGACACAGGAAACCAGTGATGTTTGAAAGGAGGAAAGTGTTACTTCATGGTGTAGGATATTTTTGTTGCCCTAAGATATCTTGTATTATAATTAATCATGCTTTGTGAAGTGATATTATACATAGTGCTCCTCCCCCCAGCTTGAGTAGTTATAGTTACAGAAGGAAGTAAAAGTATACAGTAGAGCACTAGAAATATCCACCTCAGTCTTTTAAATTTCATTTTATGTAATGTCTGACCTGAACAATTCTTCTGTCTTTGCTTTTGATCAGTGCTGGATGAAAGTATTTCTTTTATAATGATGTGAGATTAAAAACTAATCTATATCATGATATGCAGCTGAGCTTTAATGTAAAAAAAATTGATTAGTGAAGAAAATAAGAGCAGCTTTTATTGTCAGTCTGTTGTATTAAGAATTCATAATACCATCTTTGGACCCCTTATTACAGTTTTGTATCAAGCTTTCTGTGTATCATAATATAATAAATTGCCATTCCATTGAAGATTTTTTATCATTTTTGTGATTTTTCATCTATTCAAAATATCTGAACTTTTAAAAGAAACTTGATGGTTTTGAGGAGTTGACAGTAAATTCTGATTTCCATAGAGTCTGTTTTCTTTTCAGGAACTTTTTGAATAACTCATTCAAGAAGGATTGAAGATTCAGTAGATTGTTAGTTTCAATGCAATGCTAATATTTTTTTCAAATTTGTACAGTTGTAGTGTGAAAAAGCATTGTGAACACATATAATAATTAATATTTTAAACAAGTATTTTTATTTGTATTCACACAAACATTCATATAAATACAGCTTTATTGACTAGTTTATTTCATTCTTCATACTAAATAACATATTAGGAATATTAATTTATTGTCATATAAATATACTTAATGAAGAAAACTTTTACAGTGTCTACAATGAAAAATCTGAATCTTATTTTACAACATTAATGGTACTTATTATTGCCCCTTTATGCCATTTTTACAGTGTTCAAGATGTTCTGTCTCACTTGGTTCTGGTTATTAGAACAGTTCCATGTACCTCTTCTATAACTGTTAAGCTACAAAAGAAAGGGCATTATTTTAAAATGTTATTGTTATTTACTTGTTTATACAGACACAATTCAGCATTTTTCAAAGATTTTAAAAGAAATTTAAAATTCAGAGAAAAGCATTGTTTTTTTAATATTATTACTTGGTATTTTTGTCTTCTTCAACCTATATACTAGTAACAAAATGGATCTCAAGTGGCATGTATAAATATTTGTTTAATAACTTGAGGGTTTTTAGTAGTAAATACTTTTTACTTGTGAAGAAGTCAGTTTGCTAATACTTTCTGTTTTAAAGTAAATTGTGAAAGGAAGAGGTAGCTATGAAAACAAAAATGGAATGCTTACACCCCAATTTACTAGAAAAACTTTATACTATTATAAATTATATTTCACATGATATTGTCAGAATAAATTAATTTGTTCCTTGAGATTGTTGCTACTATTAAAAGAGATGTAGTTCTTTTCTTAGTAGTTTCATACGTAAGATTAGATAAAGATGTTTTAATATAATTAAACTAAATTTTTCAAAAACCACAATTACATCTTTGTCATTGGTGTTTCTGTCTGAATATTAGGCAAACATTCTAAGAGTTTTGTTGTAAGAGCAAAAAGAAATGAACACTTTCTCTGTTTTCAGACTAACTAATGTGCAAATATTAAATGTGTTTAAAGTTTTTCCTGAACAAAAAAAAATGCTTCAAAAAGTGTACCATAATTTTTCAATGGTTTCATGGGTTAAATTTTTCAGAAATTGCATGAATAAAGGTTATACGGGCAATAGAGGGAAGTAACAATATTTAATATCTATGTAATCTATTTACAGGAAAATTATAGAAATCATTGATGAAAGTAAAACTCTGTATTAGAATATAGAACACTTTCTTTATAATTAACCATTCCTTCTTGTTTTTATTCATTTATTTTCACTCTTGATTATTGACTTATGGAGCATATAGCTCTTCAAAATGTTGATGCTATTTGTAGTTCTGTATTATTATTATTTTTTAATTTCATAAACATTCTTATGATTTGACATAAGTTCAAAAATAGGGATGGCTAGTACATACAGCTCTTGAGTAAATGAGCAAATATCCAAAAACCAACAAACTTTTATAATATCAGTATATCCATGTCAAATAATCTACAGAACCTGTTATTCACAGTGTTACACCTTAGTTATTGGGCCTCCTTGCTGCTATTGTGAAAACATTTTGTGAGAGAAAAGTAGCAGAATGTCCAAACACCAAGTATCAAAGATTAAATATAACTAGAAAATGGTCAACATTTTTCTTCACCCTGCAGATGAGCCATTCAGAATATGACAGTCTTGTATCCTAAGTATATCTGAGCCAGGGCACTAACCAACAAAGGCAACTGTGCCTTGTCAAAACATGCCTGTCTTTTTTTTTATTATTTATTATTATTATAGTTACTCAAGGTTTGATTGAATTGACAATGAAAATTTAATTTTAGTCCATCACTATCATTTATAACTTCTGTGGTCACAAAAGTCAGAATCAAAAACAAAAAGTACATTATTAATAAAATAAAACTCAAACCTTGGACAAAGGTACAGTAAAGTACATATTTATACAACATGCTAATAAAACAGAACACAAAATTCAGTAAACAACTTGGAAGATTAGTCGAATATTAAAAATATAAAATAAAAAATATCCTGAAGTGCAGTGTATATAAATATACATTTGCTTATATAACTTAGATATATGAGCTACTACAAAAAATATAAATGGTAGTACTATATAGTTAGTTTTTCAACTAAGTGAAAACAGAACTGAAATTAAATTTTTTGTTTTTAGAATTAAAATTTAAAACAGTTACGGTACCCCTGAAATACTGGAAGCCTTTCCTTGTTGAGTTTGAACTAGTACTGTCAAAATAACATGACTAAAAATTTCCAAATGTCCTTTATGAATTGTAGAGTGCATACCAATAATTCTCCCACATTCCACGAAGCACCATGGGTTCTTGCATAAGCTCTTCTTTCCCACAATAACTTAGATTTTATTGAAAGTTTCAGTTGTGATGAAACATTGGTTGTGTGCAGGCAGGAGGGAAGGTCTTCAGAGGTAAGTAAGTGTTTGAAGTTGTTTTAATTTTAGAAGTGTAAAATTCAAGTTGAGTAGTCTTACCTCTGAAATATTGTAAAGAAGGTAGAAACTGATGAACATAAAAGGAAACCAAAAATATAAAACTACTATCTACAGGGCAGGAAGACTACAAGAAATATGTAGGAGAAGCATAGTCTGAGTAGAATCTAAAACCAGAAAATAATTTGTAGAGGTTGATTCAAGTGAGAATTAGTAGAACAGACCAGCATTATAAAAAAGACTTGGCCTAAAGGATGCTTACAATGAAAGCATTATTCTCAGCAGGGGACCTCTATTCCTTTTAATTTAGGCAAAGGAGTCAGTTTTGTGAGTGGAAATGGTGTATTGCATTTATGGTGATAATAAAGGACATAGACAGTGGCATAAACAGGTAGGAGGAATACTGTGTCATGCCTTCTGCAGTGGAAGGTTCTTGTGGTAGCAGCCCAGACATGTATTAGGAGAGGATATACTCCAGAAGTACTAGTCCAGCTGCAATCAATATAAAAAAAATGACCAGCGAGTCACAAAAGGAGCCCAGTTAGTAGTCACTCAGGAAGAACTGATGAAAGACTCAAGCAGTCTGTAAGGATTAGCTCAACAATGATAGTGCAACAGAAACATCAAAACATAAAGAAATATAAACATTATTCCTATCGTGGTTGGAGCCAAGACATCTAATGCTGCACAAGGATGTGCAGTTAAGGTCGAAGACATACCTAATAAAGCATCAGCCATCAGATGGCATCCTCTTAACTTCCATAGGACAACACCATCTCATGAAGCTCCAGTGTTGATAGTTGTTTAGGTCAAAACACACAGATGTATGCAACAGTCCTGACTGAACAAATACATACATGATGTTATTGTACTTTTTTATTGTACTTGTATGTATAGTTTTATATATAACCAAATAATTTTTCAACCTCAGACATCCCTAGATTTGTGGACAGAGGTGATAGGCAACATATAAATAGATGATTTGTTTAGGTCATATGCAGAGAATAGAGAACGTCAAAGTCCTGACTGAATTAATTGATATAATTGCAGATTCACAATAAATAAGACGACTATATTTATTTATTGTATTTTTCTTGTTTTATATTGTTTAGTTTCAAGTGAAAACTATTTACAGTTTCAGACATACAGGAAATTATTAGTAACAGGTGTTGAACAGAATACAAAAAAAAAATCACAAGAAATAGATTCCATCAAGCCTGAAAAAAAAAACATGCAATAAATAACTGAAGTTGCTGTATCAGGTATGATAAAGGTAAAATGGCAAACAATAATACAGATTTGTACCCATGCTGGCCTGTAAAAATGTCTGCTAAAAGGTGCAGAGACTAGGAGGCCAAAGTCATTACCAAATGGCAAATGTAATGAGATGTAACCTGAAATTCACATTAGTTGTTCGAAACATCATAATAATCAAGGTGGATCAGTTGTAACAAACCTAATTCATTAATATGGATATAGCAAGATTCGTGAAACAAGAATCATCATAAAGGATAAATAATCTCAATTCTCAAAAAATTCCATTTTTGTAAATTTGAGGAGGTAACACAAAATGTGACACACTCGAAGCTCAAGTTTCTAGAAAGGCTGAATCAGGATATCAAAACAGAGTCTTCTTGGAAAAGAGTGAAAACTATAATAGTCAAAAATTTCAAATTATTCCTTCCTGAAGTGAATTAAAAAATAACATTTTGAGGGGAAAATGGTGGATCAAAAGGGTTCGAAAGGAGAAGCCAAGGAACTTAATACCAAATATAAATCCCAATGAGAAACTATTTCTAAGTACTTGTGGGAGATCTAATGAATAAAATTGAAAAGAATTGGAGCCGACTTCTCTGTGGTAACTGAAAGAGGTTGAAAATGTAGCCCGATAGTCTGCAGAAGCAGACAAGCCCAGATCATGAAAAATGTTCACTAAAAATTATACAAACTATTTAGTGAGTTGGAGCATTGGTTGTAAAGTACCTGTCACTTTACATTAAACCTAATAATATGGCATTGTTATTATATGAAGTTTACATTATTTTTATAATATACATGTTTGATGTATACTTTATTTGTATATATTGAAACATTGGAGTGAGTGTGTAGTTGATTAATAAAAGCATATTTTATAAATGGATTGACTTTGTTGATATATGAATGCTGTTGAACCTAGCAGTAATTTCAAGTTTTCATGACATGAAAAGCTTGTTTTGTGAAGTTCTAAAGGATTAACTGTAGAAGCAGCATGGTCACTACTTAGGAATTAAATGTGTGGCATCAATAATATAACATAAAACCAAGACAGCTGTTAATTTCATAATTATTCGATTGTTCCAGTTCTTAAATGCCTTAGCCTTGGTTTGATGTACAGTCACGTCATCCCTGCTCACTATGTTTCCTAACACTGTCCGAGCTTGAGTTCAGCTAGCTCTCGTTTTCCATGTTTGCTTCATACATCTTTCTAAAAACTGGATTATTGTTTTTGTATATCAAGTGTGCATCTCAATGTAGTCAATATAATGTCGAATCCATTAATTATTCAAGGGTGATGCAAACATGGCACAATCTGCAACGTATTTCACATAACTCAACATAAATGCTAAAAGTAATTTTGGGCAACTGTTCTCACCCAGTATGATTTATTATTACCCCCCTCCCCCCAAAAAATCCATCCATCTTAAACGTTTCTAATTTATGCTGACTGGCAAAGCAGATGGTAGGTCATATACTGGTTGCCTGTGTCAACATAATATTATTATATTATCAAATTTGATTTATGGCCCTACAAAGGCATTGCCATATCCTAATGGCATTTAGATTCTCGTGATAGTTTTTACTGGGAGATTGTAGAAGATTGACAGCAGTGTTTTTAGGATTTTTGACATATGTACCAAC